GAAAGAGTTGCTGCCCACTACAAACTGAAGATATAATCACCTGCATGTTTAAATCATGTAGAATTAGTTTATGGTGCTGCTCTGCTCAGATGTGGTAAACCCTTCTGCTTTCATTCCTGAGCCAAATGGAAAAGGTACTTTGGGAATAATTTCAGAGAATGCAGCTAAAGTGACTGTATTTTAACTGTAACCTGATTTAGATCTAAAACAAAATAACTCAAATCTGGTTTCAAGTAAATTGTAGGCCAGTGACAGCTATGCCACGGCAGGGTTACGGCAGAGATGTGGTTTAAAATGAATCAAGCATCCCTAAAGACTTCATTTGGTACCGTTACAGTAGTGGATGCTGAGGAACCCTGCCATGGCTAACAGTGGTGATGGAGAGTGAGGACATGTGATGCTGAGACACCTGAATTAGTTGGAGGGAAGCCAGCTTTGATCAGGATGCCTTGGTAGTTTGGCACAGTGCTCAAGCTGTGACAGTCAGGGCTTATTAGCTCTGATGTCTTGCTGAGGTTGCATGGCTATACAGTGTCTCAGAACCAAGCTGGCAGATCCACCTTGCGTCTTGTTGTGCTCACTTTGCTGTACGCCATGCTCTGCTTGCACTGAGAGATCATATCAGTTCAGGGCATAGCCACTACTGTTCTTAAATTGAAAAGGGACTCAACTAAAGCAAAGCCCTGTTCTTGGCATGTGAATGGCTTTCACCTGCAGATACATAGCATAGTTTGAATTAAGAATGATTTATGCTAAAAATTGTCAAGCTTCCAGGCTTTATGAACGTTTTCAGAAGTAAGTGATGCTTTTGTGAATACCTGTGAATAGTATGAGCCTGCTTACACTAGTGAGCCAAAACCAGCATTTTGATATGCAAAAAACATTTTCTGAGCCTGGTTGTGATCACTGATCATTAACAGTTCAATTTCCTAATACTATAACTACTATTAGTATTATGATATGAGGACATAAATCACTGTCAGAGTTCTCGGCAAATGTCATCTTGTATAACTTATATTCTATCTACTCAAAATCTTCATGTTCTTATTGGAGAAATTACTTTCGCATCCTTCTGAAATTTTTACTTATGTAATTGACCTGTCCAATTTTAGAGGCAATGGGTGAAATAACCCTTTGAAATAACACATATATGAGTGGATAAAATACACTTTGAACACTCCAGATGAAATTCCATTCTATATCTATGTGAATAACAAGGTTTATTTAAGTGTCTTGAAAATGGTGTTTAGGCAAGTGGTATATGAAGATCAAACTCACACCCTCAGAGATTTTGAACATGGGTTTTTATTTTGTGTTTCAGTGGCTGTTCCCTCGCCAGTGTCAGCTTGTGAACCTGAGCCCAAAACCAACGGGCATTATCCAGCTCCACGACTCTCTATTTCGTCCCGAGCAACTGTCGTCGCCACCATGGAAACCCCTTCTCAGGGCCTGCAGACAGTCATGAAATGGAAAACAGTGGTGGCCATTTTCGTTGTGGTTGTAGTTTACCTGGTGACTGGAGGACTTGTCTTCCGTGCCCTGGAACAGCCTTTTGAAAGCAGGCAGAAGAATACAATAGCATTAGAGAAGGCTGACTTTCTTCGGGAACACGTTTGTGTAACCCAGCTAGAACTGGAGACACTGATTCAGGTAGGCCGTGTGAAGAAGACAGTATGTCTTGGAAGTCGGGAAAAAAAGCTTGGCAGTTCACTGATCAAGTGACTTGGTAGGGAACTAAATTGTTCCTAGGGTCTTGCACTAGGCTGCCTAGTGCAGAGAAAGAAAAACTGATAATAGGCACTATGAAGAACAGGCTCTTTTTCAGTTATTTTAGTGGCCTGGAAACAGAAGCTGTGTTCCCAAAACATTCTAAATAGAGGTTAAATATCTTCACTAGAATGATGAAAAATGAATGCAAAGAAAATCAGAACTTAATATCTGGAATGGAATTCTGTGGCAGGTTACAGATTTGCAAAAGGCTTACGTATCTCTGTGAGTTTTCCAAAAGATGCTAAGCCCAGTTTTTCCTCCAGGATTAAACCCAGCAACCAGGTGAGCCAACAGAAAATGGTAGATTGGAATTCTGAAATAAATATTTGGCCAAGAATTCTGAAATTACTGATATGTTAATTTATAGCTTTATTGTTGAGAATTTTAGGTAGATGAATCATGTAGAAGGCATACCTTTAGAAAGAGAAAATAACTTGCATTTAAGAACTACAGGCTTAATAGTCTGGTCTACTAATATGCAAAGCCTTAGAGTAAATTTTGAAGAAAACAAAAATCAGATACAAAGGGATAAGTGCAGAATGGAATAGCATGCAAGATACGTTACTTAAAGATAGGGATATCTTTTATTGATTAGATCTCTAGACAAGGAAAATATTAGGTATCTATCTCACCTGTGAGGACTTCTGGAAAGTATCTTCTAGGATCCCATCTAGAAACCTATCAGTTAACCTGGAGAAAATGGGGATTAAATAAGAAATGTGAGATACCTAAGGATGTATTCCAACAGTATCCAACACCGAAGTTGAACTTCAGCTTCCTATTTTAGATCTGAATTTGTATATTAGGCTTTCAAGAGCACAGTGTGTTAAGATCTTGGGTTATTTGTGTGCCCTGTTAGAGCTCTGTTATGATTTTAGGCTGTTTTAAGGATCACAGAGCTATCCCATGGATTGTTGTGTCCATTCACCCAGCCATGTTATATGGTTTCCTGGTGGGTCAGACTCTATCTTAAAAGGAGCTTAGTCTTTCTGTGAGGAAGCTGTCCTAGTATCTCACTGATGTGCCAGGGAAAACATACTCCTAGTTTTCGGCCTAAGCTCATTCAGTTTCTGCGTAGCTGGTCTTGCACAGACACCCTTTGATTCCTTAACTGCTTGTTTTCCCTTGCCCATGCGTGTAGACAGCAGTTCTCTGCTGCCTATGCTAAGCAAAAAAAAAATATTTCTGTTTATTTGTAGATAGATGTGGGCTTATCCTGCTTGTGCTCTATGTTCGCTGAAGACAAGCTAGTTCTGATGTGGAAGCTGTGTGTCCTTGTTTGTGCAGCCTGATACTTGAGCTAAGGGGCCAAATCTGCTTCAGCAGGCAGCACTGCCGTGCTGATGAGACTATACAGCTTTTGGATCAGGGCTGGCTTGGATCACAGGCACATCTTAAAAAGACACGTGGACATGGTTGGTTTTTGATGTAAATTCTTCTGGTCAGGGATATTGGCTCAGATCCATTTCTCTTGGCAGCATTGTGGAGATTAGAATTTCCCACAGCTCCTTAGGTATGATGTATGCTGGCTGATTACAGATTTTTTTTAAATATTGAAAGGAAGAAGTTTGTATTCCCCTGATGTCAATGTCACTATTAAAAGATATGCAAAATACTTTCTTTTCTAGCAGAAAACAGAATACAAAATAGGTACAACAAGCAAAGCACCTCAGCAGGATGGAAAAGACTCCTGCTCAGAGACTGCAGTACAAAGATTTCTTAATAGCCCGTATTTTCTAGCCTAAGCTATGTACCCATTTTAATTCTTTGTTGTACACAATATCTTGTCCTTCTTTCACCTCAGAAGTGGTGACACAAGAATAATAAACATGCACACTATGTCATTAGAAGGCAGATATTCTGAACAAATCTTATCATCTCTTGAGACTTCAGTATGTCCTCAGGCATTACACTGGGTAACTGGAAATCATTTTGAAAAAGGTAAATTAAATGGGTGTAGCAGCTTAGCATGCGAATGTCCTAAGGCCAAGTGATGTGAAATATTGAAACAGATTTGTCAATAAAGAACGATATCCTTTGGATTCTTCAGAATGTCTGAGGGTGAACCTGGATGCGGGGATGCGTTCAGGTATACTGATATAGAAAACTGTGACTATAACTGACTTGCACATAAGAACAGTGAACCACTGTTTGAAGAGAAAGTCCTGGGGTTTAACGTGACGCTTTCATGCCTTCATGTTGATGATCTCAAAAGTGACATCTCTCTAGCTGGCACAATGGATTACTGCAATTGCACCAAATGCTGCACTGCTTTTGCAACTGTGATTTCAGACTGATGTGGCAACCTCCATGGGTCCTGCTTGCTGTACTGTGTGCTTTCATCACATGGCTACCCCTAAGGGAGATATTTATTATTAATGTCATCTGACTATCTTAAAGCATTTAGTTGAACCCATAGTTCATACTTTTCAGAATGACTGTGATGATTCAGCTCTGTGGTTTGGAGAATATGGAAAAAATACAAAAGGAGAGACCTTCGAACTAGCTCGTATCCTTTCTTGTGGGGGTGACTCTGGAAGAAGAATTTTTAAGGTGGAGAAGAAAGGAATGTTATGCGGTTTGCAAGTTATATGATGGACTCTTTTCCCCCTTTTGCCTAAATTTCAATCTTTCACAGGGTTCTCCTTTAGCAAACCTACAAGAAAGATGTATAGCACTGAATGTATAGCTGTGAAAGATTTGGTGTGGTTGAGACATGCTTTCTAAATGGATCTCCAATAACCCATAGAAAATATTTGCATTGGTAGCACAAATATGAATTGCCCTGTTGATAGTGGTGAGTCCAAAATATGGATTTCATTCATAGACTTCGGAAACAATACAGAGATGAGAGTGGCGTAAATCTGTAGGAAGATGCAAATCCAATTTGAAGGCATTTTAAGTTTCTATTTATCTTATGGATTTTAGTTTAGGTATATCTAATGCTAATACCATGGCAGAGAATTTTTTTCTTAGTAATATCAAGTGTTTTACAGTGCAGGCTATGTTTTCCCAGGTCATCTGAAGTGGAAATTCTTAACTGTTCATTTTTTTTAAAGCTCATTTCTGCTTCTGAAGATACCTGTTGCAGTGAAACAAATTATTATCATTTAATGCCTTATGTGATCTACTAGCTGGGATGATGATGAATGAGAAATGGTGAATGAGAAAATGACAAAATCAGATGCTTTATCTCAGCACTGTTGAAGCTGAATTTTCAGGATCAGAGAGAAGCAAAATTGAGGATGTGCTAAAAGAGAATGAAACTTCAGTTGTCTCAACTGAATTTAGTGGTATTGTACCCATCTGGACAAATAACAGAGGGTAGCAAGACTCAAGTGACATATGGTTGAGTAAAAATGACATTGGTACTTAAACATGCTAATATAATATTACAAAGGTTTTTTTCTCCCCCTGTATGGGGGTGTTAGTAGCTGGGATAAACAAAAAGTCACCTTGCCTTTGCAATAAAGCACAGTTAAGGTGTATTTTGAAGAGGTTATGTCTCTTTTTGAAAGAGCAGATGTCGTCCATCACTAAGAGAGGCAGGCAGGAAGACCATCCGTGTGTTTTAGCAGAATAATTCATATGGACCTGATAAAGAAGTTCATATTTTGTTTTCACTTAGCCTGTGCATTGTGTATGAGTAAAAGCTTTTGTAATGAGCCCTAAATAATTACATAAGATAGAGCAGTTTACTACTGTAAGAAGTTACTTAGGTGAACGATTGGCTGCTTTCTCCTCCCTTCTTCTTCAGAGTTTCATTTAGCAGGGTGAGTGATTATAGTCAGAAAATCTCACACCTGGGAACTAAGTCATATTATTAATGGCCACTAATGACTACAGCAATTCCAATGAGTTAGCACGTAAGCTGAAAAGGAAGTGGAGTTGGAAATAAGCTCGTTCGACATTACTGGCTAATTATGTCAGTAAGAGTTCGTATCTTGGATAGGCACTTTTTATTACTGTTCTGAACTACTTTTCCCCTAAAGACAAGCAAAAAAGGAAACATCCTGTTATTTCAGGATATATCAGTTATTTCAGTTTTTAGCTGCTTGACAGGTTCACCAGTGTTATAAGCCAGTTTGTCTTCTCAAGGCGTTTCATTGTAGAGGGAAGAGAACTTGGATGACTTTCATGTACTAGAAGAAAGCTCTAAATGGAGCAGAAAAAAAGTCTTTTGAGTTAACTATGGGGAAGACTTGCCTGTGGCTGAATATAGGAAAAGACTATTTGTGCTGCGAAGAAAAGCAGTGGTAAATTATCTGATTATTGGATCTTCTGCCTGTGCATCTGACGGGTGTCTTCTCTATGTCCCAGCGTTCCGTCTGCCTTGATCTTTATTTTAATTTATCACCCTACGGACTATATGAAAAAGATTTCAAGTGTCTTGGGTCATGCCTATGTTGGTGCAGACACCCTAGTTTGTCACTCTAGCCCAGAGACTCTGCGATCAGACTGAGCGTAGTAGAACTCTGCTGCTGTTCTGCAGCTACCTTGCTTCCAGAACGTAACTGAGATGTTTGCAAGGGGCTAAGCCCTCTGAACTGAGGTACCTCTGCACCACCACTTGTTCAGTGTTGTAGGTCTGCCTGGAGATTGGCCTGTGGCACTGTTCTATAACAGTACATGGATGACAGTCGACTCGGTTTATAAGTGTAAGTACATGACTGTCTGGCTTATTGTTACCTGAAGACCCCTGTGGGATAGACAAAAATATTTAAGGGATGAGCTCTCAAAGCTAATTACCTCTGGTTATTCATGAACAAAAATTGTTGGCGATTTTGATCTTTGGAAAACACTGCTGTGTTTTCCACTGTTGTGGAAGAGGGACTAAATGGGAGTTTATAATGAGAATCCTTTAATCACTGAATGAGGGG